ACCCGTGCTAGAAACAATATTTAATACAATTTCGTGAACCGTAGCGTAATTGTGATAATCCTCTTTAATAAATAATAAAGTCGCTATATTGACTTCTAATCTTTAATAACCCAAATGCGTATTTGTGTCTTTGTGGGGCTACGATAATCAATATCAACAAAATTTGTAATAAAATAAGAGTAACGAAATGTTCACGTATATCATTTACATAATATCACTTCACTACATAATAATTTTCCACGTTTAAATGGTTTTGCGTAATTGTAATTCTCCCCTCATCAAGATCCGACTTTTTGAAATTAACTATTAAAACGTCTAATTAAAAGATGGAACTGTGCCTTGGGCCTATCTTCGATATCCGGGATATTTTGGTTTAATCGAAAATTTTGATTGAAAATCACGAATATTTTCACGTGTTGTATAATCATATGACGTGGTAACGGCCGGACCACGTACAGATGATAGAAAAGGGACAAATGTGTAAAGATAAGACCCGGAAATATATACAATTTCTAGGAAATATATACAATTCCTAGGAAATATATACAATTCCTAGGAAATATATACAATTCTGGGGATATTTAGGAAATCTATAAAATATTGCTTCAACGGTTTTTTAATGCACACATATCCTGGCAAATGTATAGATTTCCTAGGATTTGTATGAAATTCTGACATTGTACTAGGAAATGTATAAAACTAACCCCGCGCACCCATTGACATCTCGAATGTAATATATTTCCGATTGCTATTTAGGAAATGTATAGATTTTCCAAGAAATGTGGCTAATACTATTTATTTCACACATTTCCGGGCGATTTTAGGAATTATATACATTTCCTAGGAATTGTATACAATGACTGATTGCGCACATTTCCGTTAACATATATATAAACTCAAACTTTTCCAACTCAAATCTCTTAAACGCAGTCAGTTAAGGTAAATAGTACAAATTAAAATAATTTGATTATCGATAATTTTGAATTAGCTTTAATCATAACAATTTCCTTTAAAGATATTGACGAATCCACAATAATTGCTTCAATTGCTCGATATTGAAGATGAAGTTAATTGAAACAATAATTGCTTTCACATCAGGATTTTTAAGGTGTTAATAACTAGTGTATTTCCCTCATAATAATGATATAACTTGTTNTAAATACATAACAAAATTAATTTATTAGCAGATAATTAATTATCCGAAACCATAATAGGTTTATGCTTGATCGAAAATATTGTTATCTATTCTAATTTTGAATTATTACAAAAGGTTAGGATAACAGTGAAATAATTAAATAAAAGTAAGTACAATGACTTCCTCCTTAATTAGATACTACCAGTAATTATAAAATAATTTTTCACATTAATGGCGGCAGTTATATCTAAATATTTTTTAAATTCTTTAATGATATGACCTGAGAAACAGCACAGGTTTATTAACGATGACGAGTTTGTAATGAGAATGGTTTTCATTAGCAGAATCCATAGAAGATAATAGACATACTCGTAATTGTTTCTAACAGGTGAAGTTTTTCGATTTTATTACGTATGCCTTTTTGTAGGTAGATAATTTACCCCTTCGTAATGCAAATCAAAGGCAAATATTATATTTTCTTCTACAAGCGTTTTCAAATTGTATATCAATCAAATGATAGGAACTAATAGTTATAAAAACCATGCACCTTTCGTTCGAGTGGGAAAACTACACCTGTAATCTGAAACTACCTCAAAGAAAAATAAACATTTCCCACCCTTATGCCAACGAAAGCTTCTTGCCAATTTTTGATCGAAAAACAAGCATCGATCAATGGCCATGTGTTATAGAATCTGAGAATCCCACATTTCACCAGCTCCACCAATTCTTTTGGTAACACAAGATATCAGAAGTTAAAACCTAAACACTATTTATTTTTTTAATTAAAACGTTATATTCTTATGTACAAAATTTTCTGAAAAGCAGGAAAATAAAATAAAGTTTAGAAATGAAAATGAATAAAAACTGTCCATTTTTTTCTAAGATTGTAAGGTAAGAGTAAATTCAAAGATTTTTACTTATCTATCAATAGAAATAAAAGTTCAATGTCTTGTACTTTAGACATTACATCGGGATACCGATGTAATGTCTAAAGTACAAGACATTGATTTTTCTAAGATTGTAAGGTAAGAGTAAATTCAAAGATTTTTACTTATCTATCAATAGAAATAAAAGTTCAATGTCTTGTACTTTAGACATTACATCGGTATACATGTAAGTGACAGAATGTAATAAAGTTTGAATAATAATTTGCAAGTTTTGTCGCCTTTTGGATACATCTACAATAAGCAAGGTAATACATATGCAAAAACTTATTTATCTCTTTTGTCAAAATCACATATGTACATTTTTGAGTTTAAATGTTTATTTAATGCTCAATTCTAATAGAACGGACGAACAGAACATCCAAATCTTTCACATAATCCTTTAAAACTGAATAGACAATCAGAATATTGAATTATATAGGTAGATATACTCGTTCATCACGTCCAAATTTGGATGATGGGAACGTTATCACACGTATCCACTTACATTTTGGTTTTTACGACATTTTCAATAACTTTATAATTCATACTTTAAACTTGAGAGCATATTTAGTGATAATTGTTTCGATCGGTTTTTAACAATCTTTATTCATTGCACATAATCGACTGATAAATATACATTAGATCAATATTTGGTTTTATCGCCGTTGACCGCAATACACGATTCCAATCGTCAATTCATACTCCGGATCAAAGACTCCAAATATTTAGGAACCAAATCATTACAAATGGTCTCGATTTTGGCCATCCAATTGTCAATCGAGCGTTCAGTCTCTTTCTCAAGGGTATCTTTCATCAATTGCCAGAGATTTTCGATAGGATTGAGGTCTTTGCCATCAAACTACTCTTTGTTTTTCAACAATACTATTGATAATTGTATGGCATGTGACACAACAATCGATCGTTAATTTAATTCTCAATTCAAATGTGTGCTTTGTTTGCATGGTAATCACCTAGCGTCAAATTAATCTATCAAAAACTAAATGACATAATTTTATCGCTAAATCTGCTCCCAACTGTATAACATGTCACTAGAATGTATGCATGTGCAACCAACTGTACTCCGTAATATAGATATTTAAACCCGCCTACTTCCTTGCAATAGCTTAGTTCCAACTCGAATACGTCAAAATTGACGATATTTAATTAAAGATTCTAATTAAATGAAAACATTCCGGAATATCAAAAGTATATAGGCCTAAGCAACCCTTTCATCTTTTAATTAAACGTTTTAATCGCCAGTTTGTATCAAAATGCTAAATGTTTTTATCTGCTATCCCAATTACAATGACTCTGTATTCATTATTCAATCGCTAATATTTTCGTATTTTTTGCTATTTTTCTACACATTTTAACCCAGAATGGGTTTTTTGGTCATCACTAATAACTGATGGGTGATGGACATACATTCAGACAAATCTACATTAGAAAATGATTATTAATAAATGTGACGTTTCATAATCTTTTGTTTGCCAGTTCTTAAGCGTTCAAGCATTCCAAAATGTTTATTTGGAATTTAACTTTTAAATGAAAAAATTATTTGCTTTTTTACTTTTGAAACAGTGACAAGAACAATAATATTATTACAATAAACAGCAACAAGTACTTGTACTTGATAATATTTAAATTTGACGGAAACCTGTTCGCTATTGATGACCTCTCATCATATCAATGACCTCCTGATATATTCGAGCGGATATAGAAAAAGTGGTACAAAGGTTTCGCGACGTTTTAGTTTGCATTTTGAAGAGTTACACTTTCCGTATATTTAATTATTTTCTGCATGGTACACGGGTAGCAATAGAGTTCATGTTTTTTAACTGTGCAGTATGCATTAAAGTCCGTCCCTTGCACATTTTGCGACCCATGAGAGTTTGGAATACCTCTAAAAGAACAGTTCAGTAAACGTTATTTATAGATATTTTCCCATTTGTCCATTTAACTGACATACTAACCTACCGTGTACCTCCGCATGATGACCACTGAATATCTTCCGTAACTTTTTTTTCTAGAGTTGTGGCTTATACAATGTCATTTTATCGCAATGTGATACACCGCTAGGTCACGTATTAGCATCGCCCTCAGAATAAGTCGGATTTACTGTTCGATTCAAGAAGTTAGAGATATTCCTCTTCCCTTTATTAAGATGCGCCGTAGCATAATTCCAAATTCAATCATATTTGCCTGCGGAGCTCATTTCTCTACCGATCATCCAGCGAGAACTAGACAAAAGTGTACAGTACCATTTGCAAAAATTATTTAAACTGCCTCGTTAAAATGTAAGAATATGCTTTATTTAAAAGCATATTTAGCCAAAAATAATAACAAGTGAATTAGCTTAACGCTCTACATACCTATAAAACTTTTGCTTTGTTTTCTATTATTAATTTATATACATTTTTGTTTAATAAATTGCTAAACATTTTCGTCTAGTACTGTACAGTTCTAGCCGATCTCCTAAGACCGCCCATCGAGAGCTCTGCTCGTTCAAGCTTGTTTCTGTCTTGCTCACGCCTAGTGTGTATTCTTTCTTTCTTCGCGCAGATTTCTTCAAGGTCACAATTCTAGCAAATTGAAATAGACTGTGGTTTACTGATCATGCAAAGTAGGCGTTAGTCCAGCAGCAACAAAATCTTATGGGTGACCTTTATTGTCACAATACCACCACGAAGAAGTATGGACTAACATGTATTTAAATTACTAATTGCTTTAGATACAAAAATATATTTTTTACTGTAGCAAAAAAAAGCTGTTTTATTCCTTAGACAATACTAAAGTCGTAACATTCATCAAAACCAGCCGTTTAAGTAGGAATTACATGCACATTATCTTGATTAACGATTTGTCGAGGTCACGAAACAAACAGTTACGTAGGTTACGAGTAACAGTGCATTCCAGCACTGTTTCAATTTGTTACCTACTGTAAAGAAGTAACGTTTTTTTTTTTTTTGATAGTGAAGACGCAGCAAAAACTTACGTCTTTTTTGAAAATTACAAAAATTTGACGTTGCTCGAGTTTACCAATACCGCTTAATATAAGTGCCATGTATTTAAGTTAACGAATAGTTATGTAAAAAGCATACACGATCATTGTATATATATACCTTGCATACACGAGTCATACAGTTAGTTTATCAAGTTTTCTGTGCTGTGTAAGTAATATTTTCTTTAAAATCTGTCAAATATGGAATTAAGTACAACACTTCCAACGCTCTACGAACATTATACGGCAGGTGGTATAACATCCGGATTATCCGTAGACCAGCCTTATTTTACTTTAAATAACAAAAATATCTCGATATACAGCGGCTCTTTACACTATTACCGTGTACCAAAACCATACTGGGCTGACCGATTAAGGAAATTTAGAGCCGCAGGATTGAACACTGTCGAAACTTACATTCCGTGGAATCTCCACGAACCGCAACCTGGAGTTTATGATTTTGGGAACGGCGGAAGTGATTTTCAGGATTTTCTTGATTTAGAGCATTTTTTGAAACTTGCTAAACAAGAAGATTTGTTCGTTATTCTCCGACCAGGTCCGTACATTTGTGGCGAATGGGAATTTGGTGGCCTACCCAGTTGGTTACTTAGAGAAAGACCGTTTAAAGTACGAACTTCGGCGTCCACCTTTATGAACCATGTGACCAGGTTTTTTAATCGTCTTCTACCGATGCTTGCGCTACTACAGTTTACGAAAGGGGGACCCGTAATATCCTTCCAAATTGAAAACGAATACGGAAGCACCACCCAGAAAGGAGTATTCAATCCCGACAGAACTTATTTGGAACAACTGAGAAGTTTGTACTTGAAAAATGGAATTAACGAGCTGCTTTTTACCTCCGATTCTCCATCACGTAAGTCAAAATCAAAATACTTTTAAACTGTTATAATGAAAAATGTATTATTGATTTGGACAAACAGAAACCCAGGATCTACTAGGATCCTTTTTAAGCTGTTTTTCTTATTAATACAGTCGACTATCGTTAATTCAAACCTGCGATAATTCGAACCTTTCTATAATTCGAAGTTATCACGAGTTCCCTACAAAATCTCTTTATATTTCGAACTAAATCAATACATTTTTATGCACTTGGTAATTCGAACGAAAAAATCATTGCTACGTAACAAAACTACGCGTTAATTCGAACTCATCGGCGTCAAACACTCTACAATTCAAAGTTGCAGAGAGAAAGAGACACAAAGATTGTAAGTACATACATACATTTTGAGGCAAGTGCAAACATGTATCATCGTATCATCGAGCTTTTGTTTTTGTTATAATTAGTTTGACACACACTTCCGCATGAATTGGTTTGTTTAATCTTATTTATTTTCTCTCAAAAATTTCGAACCATTTGATATTTCAAACACTCGAAAATTCGTAATATATATCCCTCGAGTTTCGAATTAACGAGAGCCGACTGTAGTTTCATTTTTAAATTGGCAATTTTTTTTTGTTACATATAGCTTAATTTATAAAATAGGAAGGCCATAGAAACCTGAAAACCAGATCACAAAATATAAGTATTAACGCATTATCTTATTTTTGATGTGCTAAGAATCCTTTGCTGATTTTTGAAATGTAGCTTTGTCTCTTGCAATCTTCACCTCATTGATTGCCAAATTTTAAAAACACCAGGGTCAATTCCTACTTTGTCCCTTGCAATTATCCAAGTCAAATAAAATCCACATTTAAATTTATTTTGTTTTCGATATCTGCAAATTTTCTTCGTTATTTTAAATGGAACACCCTGTATTACTTTGAATTCTATTTTCATTTTTAGGTAGACTTTAATAAGGCTTTCATACCTTCTAGAATACGAGAACATTGTTGCTCTAGATTTCTTACTGTAAAATAGACATGATGTTTTGCTACCTACTGCTGTGTAGTACTTTAAAAAAAATTAACATCACGAAAACGGTAAAATTTAGAAGTAGAAGAATCTTATGAAAGTCCACCTAAAATAAGTAGAATTCAAAACCGTCATAAAACACAGGGTATTCCATTTAAAGTAACGAAGTTAATGTCAACTTCCGGTATAACCGGAAGTACTACAAAGATGCCCTTATTTTAATTGAGGAGAGCATTCTCAATAACGTCATACTTTTGTAAAAATATTCTGAGATAAGGGATTCAGAATATTTGCACTTGCGTAAACCAGAAGATAATTAGGTAGGCAATTAGCTACACTGTCAATTTCATATTCCGTTTTTAAAAATAGTTTGTAATAGACTGACACCCCGACACATTAACCTTGACCTTTTCTTAACAAATTAAATTCATGCTAACGATTCGAAAAAACAGACAGAAACTAAAGCAGTGTGGCAAATTAGTTACACAACGTATATTGTCAAAAATATCACCAGAAAAAAAAGTACTCATATATTTATGTTTCTAGAATATGGGGAAGCAGGCACACTTCCGGGTGTTCTGTTTCAAACGGCCAACTTTAATAGAGATCCCGGAAAAGAATTCAGATATTTAGCCCAATACCAGCCCAATAAGCCTTTTATGACGACAGAATTATGGGCAGGATGGTTTGATCACTGGGGCGAACAACACCACACTGTATCACCTAGATCATTTTCCCAAATTTACAAAGAAATTCTTAGTTATCCGGCATCGGTAAATATTTACATGTTCATAGGTGGTACTAGTTTTGGATTCATGAATGGTGCAAACATTGAAGGCTTAAACGTGGACAATAAAGGGTACCAACCTGACACAAACAGCTACGATTACGATGCGCCTCTAACAGAAATAGGAGATTACACAGAAAAATATTATGTTGTCAAGCAATTGATCGAAAAGTACAATCCAATTAAAACTAAACTCCCCCAACTACCCCGTCCTATCAATAGAACATCGCTGCCTTCAACGTATATTCAAGAACAATTGCTCCTAATTGACATCCTATCACAGGTCCAAGAAAAAGTTCGCAGTAATAGAACTATGGCGATGGAGTATCTCCCCATAAACAACGGAAGTGGTCAAAGTTACGGTTATATAGTATATCGTAAAGAAAACATCGATATATCTGCTGGTTCTATTCTCAAAATTGAAGGCCGTGTCTGTGATACAGTTCTAGTCTTAGTCAATGGACAGTTAGTATCAAAACCTTTAAGAACCCCATCGGATTTGGACCGATTTGGTTATTGGAGATTGAAAGACTCTACGTTAACCCTATCATCAGTAAATTTAACCGGTGCAACTCTAGAACTCGTGGTAGAAAACTGGGGACGAGTAAATTATGGTAAACTAAATCAATTCTATCAATCTAAAGGATTATGGCAAGGAAAGATATTTATAAATGACGAAGAGATACAAGGCTGGGAAATTGTACCACTGGAATTTAAGAAGGCCTGGAACAATAAGTTGCAAGGCTGGCGTAAAGTTGACGATATTTCTTCTCCAAAACCTGCCATTTATAGGACAACATTTACGGTTGAAGAACCTAAAGATACTTTTGTAAATATGAACAACTGGACCAAAGGTATTGTTATCATTAACGGGTTCGTTCTGGGAAGGTACGTGTCTCCTTTGGGGCCACAACTCACCCTTTATCTTCCAGCACCCTTACAGAAAAGTGGCGTCAATGAAATACTAGTGTTTGAACATTTTTATGCAGCTGATAGTATAACTTTTTCGGCAAAACCAATATTTGGAAGTTCTAGTTTCATTTTTTAAATGTAACAAGTAAGAAAAATAGTACAATTTACAGTAGGTACTACATGGTCCTAACTGTTTGCATAAGGAATAAACAATTGTTTAAATGTAAAAATATTATTTATTTATTATTACTGTTCATGCAAATGGTAAAAAGTCACTTTGTTGTCCCTCTTACAACTCGTAATAGCTCAGAACAATATTGCACTTGATTTGAACCGTTTCCGTGAATTTGGTCTGTCAAAACGCCGGCGTGTTTGCAGGCAGTCATAAATCAACTTAGCAATAGTCTTTATATGCGGAAGTCCTAAAGTCAAATAATGAGTACGATTATTCATATTTGTAAGTACTTTAGGGTCTTCAATTTTCCAAGTAGTATATTATATAACTCTGTGCTGAGATTTCAAAACAATTCAGAACAATTGTTGTAAGAATATAAATAACCTAATACCTCGTGTTAACATTGATTTCAACCTCACCAATATTTGGAATTCCGTCTAATCGTAAATCCCTTCTTTGAATGTAGTACATCTTCGCTTCTGAAAAAACTCGTAATCTCACTTTAAGATATGAATCCTTCAAGAAAAGGTCGTTTAGAAGGGAAAGATACTCACCCTTGATTGTGATCTGAAAGTGTGGAAAGTCATTTTAAAAGAACAACCAAATCGGATGGATCAGGCTCTAACAGGGAAGTCGTATTGCGATATCCGTACTTTTCCCTCTGTCAGTTAATGAAAATTCTAAAATCCTTGCTTATTGGTAGGGTAGTATAGGGTCCTGACTTGGTTGCCTCACCGTAACTCTATTAGGTGATTCCTTGCTTATCCCGATCCGGCCCTGACTTTACTGCCCCATTGAAGGCCTATATGGAACCCCTAATTTATCCCAATGCAGCCTTCATTTGACTACCGTATTGGAAACGCACAAGGAACTCTGAATTTATCCCAGCCTGAATTTAACAATATTATTTTATTGTAATCTTTTTAGGAACTACTTACTAATTTGGATATGCGACCCCGACAATTTAATTTTATTGAGGAATGGACTACTTACTAGTGCAAGCAGACATGACTTTGAAAATACTACTAGAGATCAAAATCAACTATTCCTACAACTTTTGTTCTGAATTTTTTTCAGATCTAAGCAGTGAGCTAATTACTACGTATGGCACTTAAAACCTTCAGTAATTACATGATCTTCAAATTTAAGGACTTTTTGTACTAGTTCGGAATAATCCAACAAATATATTTTCCATAATTTATACCGCGTATCTTGTGAGGAGTTGTTTTAAGTTAATTATGTGTTTGATTAACTTAAATGATTTATAAATTAGACATTTTGGCATATGTAAACCACTACTCTACCCATGTTCTTACTGAATAACCACTTAGTTTTGATCAGTTATGTTGTTACGAATTTCCTTCATTTTTCTTTTGTGTTCTAAAGAAACCACGTTTGTGGATATCCGATAAATATTATTCAAGGGTTGCATACAAGATACTGCGCTCGTGTAACAAATAAAAACAACGAAAGAATTTGTTATTCTCTTTCCGAAGTCTTTTGTATTGTGTAGGTTTAAGTGCACTGAACCGTTTCAACACTCTTATGAGGGCATTCTCTACGAACTTTCGCAAATTGCAGGCATACCAATCAGAGAAAAATACTTCTCTTCCTTCAATCTGTTCCGAATAGCTGGGATGAGTAGTTTTAAGTTACAATTACCAAAAGGTCAATAAATATTCCCTTTTACGTCAAAAATATTTCAAGCAAAAATCAACTCGTTTTAGGTATGTATGTTGACCTACTTTGTCTTTCAACTGTTTATAAATTATGAAATTTATATCCAGATAATCTGCTTACACTGTGAATTTTACCTTTAGTTGTATCAAAAAACTGACCTTTATTCAGTTCATAATCAGAACTTACTGACTAGAATATTTCTCTAGCAAATGAACTAATAAAGTTTGTATAAAGAGCTACAGGCAGTTATAGAGCTGGAGCTGCAACGTAGAGAAGTAAATACAAGGAAGGAAGTCAGACGCGATCAACATCATACAATAGTACATACATACATCAGTACAACTGTAAGGATAGGTATACAAGGGCAGAATATTAGTATGCTTAGAATTGCAGACGATATTACAGTATCAGCATCTAGCAAGGAGGAGTTAGAGACAGCTTCAAATAAAATGAACAAAACAGTATTGTATGCGGGTGCGAAACATGGAAGGTGAGAGCGGAGGAAAAGAAAAGGTTAGAAACGTTCGAAATGTGATGTTACAGGCGAATGATGAGGATACCGTGGATAGAGAAGTTTAGTGAAGTGAAGAAATATTAGAAAGAATAGAAGAACAGCGGACTCTATGGAAGTCAATAAGAAATAGGCGAGATAGGTTGGTAGGACACCTTCTCAGGCATGAAGGTCTAGTTAGAGACATTAGAGGCAGAAGCGGGAGTTAGGAGGGGTAAACCCTAGACAATAATTTTCAGTCTTTCCAGTCTCTCGGAGTTTTTCAGCGTCTTTGAGAGCGTCTGTCACAGTCTTTCACAGTCTCTCAGCTATTGCCTAGGTGTATTTATGGATCTCTCACAGTTTCTGTATCAGAGACTCGAACGATAAAATTGTTAATTCAGAGATTCGAGTCTCTCACTGAAAGACTGAGTTAATAAAACACAAAAATTGAGAGACTCGAGTCTCTCGTAGAAAGACTGAGATCTCTGAAAAATGTTGAACTTTAATTTTAACCATGTCTATCGAGACATCACTTATTCAGAGATTCGAGTCTCTCGTTCAGTGATTCGAGTCTCGTTCAGAGATGCGAGTCTCTCGTTCAGAGAGTGGATACAAAATGAGGATCTCTCTATGAGCTACTCGAGTCTCTCTTTCAGAGAAGCAAAACAGTATTTTTGACAGTCTTTCGACGTTAGAAATAAATAGGTATTAGAGAATAGGAAATCAGAGGACTCTATGAAGTCTACTTTTGTTTTACAACAGAAGCTAAAACGAAATGATTTTTTTATTCAATTTACTTTTGGATAACCTCTTCAAAGGGCTCATTATATTTTATAAGTTTATCACTTGTTAAATTTTAAAATCGCGGTGAAGATGAAGCTGAATTTTGAGCATGTCTTCATAATACGTGCGAGGATCCGGCAGCCATAAGCCAACCGATGTGCAAGGAAAGTTTCTTTAATGTCTGCTAATAGGCTTATAACAGGAGGGAAGCTCGCGCTCGGGAACAGGAAGAACGAACCTATAGACAATTTATTTTATGAAACGATAAAATGAAAATTGTGCTTTGAATGCATGTTGATAACATAGAAGCATTTCGGCATTCGCTTTATGCTAAAGTTATATGATAAAGATCCTATCTATTGTCGCATTTTCTGGCAATAAAAACATAACCCGGCAAGATCAACTCTGATTCTCTTTTTGAGTAGTTCGTACATTACAAACCTTTGAAATGATTTTATTTAGGCATAACATAAGTTTCAGCTTAGCAGTAATAAGTAATTATTTCGGTACGCAATCTTTTCTTTAGGAAAAAATATTTGACATACAATTAGAAATCTTTATATGCACTAACTATTTTAAAGTGCTTTTGAAATGATTTTATTTAGGCATAACATAAGTTTCAGCTTAGCAGTAATAAGTAATTATTTCGGTACGCAATCTTTTCTTTAGGAAGAAATATTTGACATACAATTAGAAATCTTTATATGCACTAACTATTTTAAAGTGCTTTTAAAACTATTTGTATGTTATTTAATTCTACCTTTGAGAGGTTTCTCAGTTTGTCTGACATATTCTGTACCTATATCTAATTTTAAATCTTTTCTGCTCTGTCGCTGTTACCTTTTACAATATTTGCTAAAGAATTATTTAAGTATTTTGATATTCAGAGATGACTATTCTCACCATGCTACAAATATTTCCTCTAGATTTCAAATTAAACTTGGATTAATATTGATAACCTTTTTATTTATTTAAATTTTCTACGCAGCTGTTATCGTCTATTAAATTCTGATTTTTTTTTTAAATGTTCGCATTATTTATTCGAAATATCTTTATTGTAATGGCATCTGTTACTTCCTTTGTCTGCGGAAAGCAAACCCAACTTAATTCGCTTAACAAATGCTGGAATATTACAGAGGTCCAGAATATATTCCCGCTGTTTATTCAAATTAATATTTAAAGGATTTTAGCAAGGATTTGAATAAAGTTACTGGAAAATATCATATTTTGAAGTAATCACAAACAATAATCATTGAATGTTAGAATTATTTATTACTTATTGATGCAACGGTATTAAATAATTACACGAAAAGTTCACGAAAGAAGAGAACATTGAGTTTCATTTTAGTTCCTTGTTACGTCGTTCATTTAAATTACTATTTATTCAGAGAACACCTAATCCCTTTCCGAAGTTAATTAATCTAGATTTTGTTCGATATATTCAACATAATGGAAATGGTTATGATATAACTCTCAATAAAAAAAATTATATGAAATGACTTTAGGTGTACAAAAGATATTTAATCAATACGTGTAGGTGCTCTCAATTACAATTAGGATTTAGATTCGAATTTCCCAGGGGTTTCGCTACATATAATTTTAACATAATAGACAAATGTATAAATAAAGATATTTCAGTTGGCAATGATTTAAAAAAGGTAACCTAAGTAAACAGGACATGACATATGACACTTCTGTAATAAGGGATAACGTAGCGAACGGTAAAATAGCCAAACTTTTTTTGGGAATATGGAAAAAAGAATAGGATTTTTTAAGAGGGTTAGTTAGCTGCTAGAATACGCACCACTATCAACTTTTTTTACAAACACTGTCTCGTCCCCTGTCTTCAATACGGTTTCATCCATCTCTTTGCATTGCTTATAAATAATAAATGAACGTAATACGAAAAGGTAATTCATCATATATAATGCAGATGACAAACACCTGCGGGTGGCATTAGTTTTTATTCAATCTTTGGTTCTCTTTCATACAATCATAATTTCTTTTGTTAGTAAAAAGTAATTCTGTCCTATATAATGGAAGATGAATATTCAAAAACAATAATAAACCTCTTTAGTTGTAAATGTAATTTACATTCTTTAACAACAAATTGATGAAACGTTTGCCATTAAACAACAAAGGCATAAAAACATAATGGGAAAAGAAAATTAGCATGTATATGAAAATGTAAAACATATACCAACTATTAGTAGGTCGTCATCATCATGATCATAAGGTCGCCATTCCTAAGACTAGCTAAACAAAAAAAAAACTTTTGGGTGTTTCATTCCCACCAGCCAGTAATGCTGGTGGTGGTGCTGCTTTCAGGAATCGTGGGAATGGATGGGTGGTGGTTCGGGTGAGAAAGATGAGACGGACGAAATGAAGACAGAAGAGAGTGAAAGATTATCTGTGGAATATTACTGCCTCAGCATTTGCCTAAGTGATCCAAGGAAACCACAGAAAAACTTGGACCAAGGCAGACGGACCCGGAATCGAAACACGCACCTCCACTCTTTCCTATCCTGAGCTAATTTTCGCGTTTCCCTAAAACTAGAACATCCCAAATCCTTAACTATTTATAAACAGTATATAACTTAATCTATCCCCTCTTACCTCCCGCTTCTGCTTCTAATAAGTCTCTAAGTAGCCCTCCATACCTGAGAAGGTGTCCTACCAAGCTGTCTCACCTATTTAGGTAATACAACATTTCGAACGTATTTAACCTTTTCATTTCCGACGCGCCCACTGTCCATGTTTCGCACCCGTACAGCACCGGGAATTTCTAAATTAACTGTTCGCGAGCGTAGAAGTAATTTCTTTTTGTTAAAGGCGACTCTACCCTGCACCGCCCTCTGTTTTATATCTCTATTACTCTTTTTTCATCCTGTGTTATTTAACTTGCTGAATACTCAACTTCTTCCAATTTTTCATCTCCCGTCTTTATCTACACTATTTCTCCAGTTTTTAAGTAAGTAATAACAAAAAACAATGGTACATGCATTGCAAATTATTAATTTATGTAGATATCCATTAAAAATGACAACGATTGTCTCTTTTAAGTCGATAATGAACTTGTTGTTGTTTCCCTAGTATTATACCAACGCAATTGTTATATTATCTCTACAGACCGATCGTAATGAAACTCGTTCTGTTTATTATTTGAAACTCAAACTCAAACTGAACAAAGTTCCAACATTTTAAAGGAATCGTTATCTCAAGAAAACAATAATTTTTCAGATTAAACTCCCAACTCAATACCAATTTCAATTAGCATCAGTCCAAGTAAAAAATTTATTGTGACAACAACTTTAGTAAAATGTTTGTAAAGCACACAATTCATGCACCTACAATAAATAATGCTCAGGACTAATTGGATGTTTGAAAGAATTAACAAAAGAAAATCCGTTACGAAAGAAACAGAAGCGTTGGGAGGTGTCATTAAGGAGAACACATTTACATCTTCTCGCGAATCTAAATCTTTCTGGAGAGAGATAATATAGGAGTTTGAAAATCTTTTGCACAATACTACGAGACCTAATTCAATAAATCACATAAAACAATAGTACAGAATAATAGAAGATAAATTAGCAACGTGCCAACAAGATAATTTGTATGCCACCAAACTGTATCTACATTAGTTCAGTTGCTTAAACAATCAAGACAATGGGAGGAGGTAATCCTTACACTTTTAAAAAGTATTTATTTTTATATACACGTATGTAAGTGGCTACTACATATATTAATCCCAGCCTGGTACGGATTGTGTGGTACTACTGAGGGTCCAGCAGGCGTATTGTGTAAAGGCGGGACTCCACTAAACTGGGCTGGTCGCCGGTATGGAACCGGCGGCTTACCGCAGTTCTAAAGCGGTTTTAACGGAGACCAGACTGATTTGGTTAGTTAGCTACTTTTTTTTGTTAAGATTGTTTGATAACAACGATGACATTTAATTAGGGTATATTCACCCTGAAACTGCTAATAAACACTATAAGAGAAAACGCAGTTTTCGAAAACGACCGAGTTTAAGTAGAATTAAAGTTTTAAACAAACTAAGAAGGAATCACCATGGTTTAGTGTTTGGTCAATCTATTGTCAATCTACTTAATGTACGAGTATGTACATTCCAAACTAATTTGAACGAACATGGCACATGCCGCCGGTCAAACACTAACCAAAATGCTTTAAATTTAACGGTTGGCATTACAACCCAAATCACTCCCAACATGAACTATTAGAATTTTATAAAGGATTTAGAATATATTCAATTTAACATAACAACCTCACCTGAGGAGCTTAGGAATGGCAGATAATTTTATACCGTTATGGGGTGAGTGAAAACAGCCACCCGTTTCACCCTCCTAACTCAGTTCTGACTCGCTTCTAGTAATCGATTACTTGGTCCCTCATCTGAATCTAATCTGAGTATTTATACGATTGGTAATTCACCTACTAGCCAAGGTGTACCAATACCAATACAATTTCTTCCCCTTTAATTAAAATAAATAGGAACCAAAAACGACAGGGTCGCATTTTGAGCGAAACGTCGGAATGGCTTTTGTAGTCAATAAAAGAACTTATTACCCTATCGGCTCTATCTCTACACATATATTTCATCAATAAAAAGAAATTAATAATTGCTACATCACGTAGGTACATGAAATGTTAATTTGAACACGTGTAAATGTGCGAGGGCTTGTGTGGCACCTCCCACTCGAACTGGGAATTTTCTTTTTTTTGATTTTCCGCGCAAATTTCGCTACGATGGTAAAATGAGACAGCGAGATGTGGAAATGGATGGTCGCGCAATGCGCCCCTTTTGAATGAATGAAAAGGCGGCTGCGGACGCTCCTCGGTCACATTCTATAAAGTGTCACTCAGAGTTACCCACTTGATACAATAACACACGACGAACAACACTTGCAACTCTACAATAAACAATTTTCTTCTTCTTCTTTTCTTCTACCAGTGACGTACATAGAGAGGCAACAGCCCCATCATCATGAATTGCTCTTTTTGTTCATTCGCCGCTTTCATTTTCGCCGTTTTAATCATCTTTACCGTGGGCACATCCGAAGCAAAAAGTAAGTTAGATGTTATATAGTAGACAACTACGAAAATTGACCATCCAATTAATTGTTTATTCCAGCAATAAATAAAAAGATAAAATTTGCGTTCGATTATTAATTAGGTGCTGTTCCTTAAAAAGTAGACAAGATCTGGTCATTTTCAATTAAAAAGCTTTCCTTTTTGAAGTTACATGGAAGTTTGTTCTTGTAGCACTTCAAAATTTTTAACAAAGTTGCTCGCTATAGAACCTTCTGTGTTAATAGTTTGTTTGAAAACTTCTTTTAATGAAAAATAATTGTCATTTCCGAGCCTACACGACAAAGAAATTAAAAAGCTTTTTGCATCACGTAGAACTCATTTTTTAAAATAAAAAATTGGATTGTCAAGATATTTTTATCACTGAATATATAAAGGAAAACTGATTTATACGTGAACGATGTACATGTTTATTTCTAATGAAGGTTTCAATTCTGCTGTCAATCGTATTGTCACGAAAACATAAACGATTTCAGTTACTGTTGCCGGCATACGTTTACGTTTCCGTCATTTCTAAAGGATATTTCTTGTTTTACATAATGTTTTCCTGAATAAATTCATTTTAAATGTAGGCAGGTAGCTACGTAACACCATAAATTTCCGTATATTTGAAAAAAATCTGTTCGTATTAAAGTTCACGAAATCTTGTTATAGTTGCCGAGCGGATTTTCTTCGCACACCGGAAATGAATTTGGCTTATCTTTTGTTAGTAACTTTTCAACTCTACCGCGAATTTAAAATTCGGAAATGGTGGATAAAAGTATTTTCAAACAAATTCGAAAACATATAAAATGAATATCGGTTAAAATCCAATCGAAGACCCGTTTGGGAATGTTTTAAGGATTACAGGACTTTTCTAATACTTGTTGATATCATGTCATCCGAAATCCAACAAAGGTTACGATTTTAAGTTCCAATTCAAATCAACGGCATTGTGTTTTACAAATACTCTACATTCAATTTTCCATACAGCCCGAAGCATATAAGTAAACACCTCCCCTATTAACCGTATCTGGCGCCTATTGATTTTTTTACTTTTCTCAAAATTCATAACGGAAAAATATTTTCGAATGTAGCTCCAGGATAATGCTAAAAAATAATTTGAGACAATGCAAGTTTGAGGATTAATATAGAACTATACGTAAGAACCCGAATTGTAAGGAGTTAAATTTAATCTGCTACACGAAATTTCTTCTAACAAGTTATTTAATCTACACAGTTGAAAAGGTTTTTTATTTGCCTATTGTTTTCTACAATTTACGTTACTCAGAAGAAATTATTTTTCGTTTTAAATTTATTTTGACTGGCGAGTTTTTAGGGTTACATGTTCCACCACTACTTATTTATAAAAAAAACCCTTAGATATGTCTAATGTAAAAACTCACTTTAACATTTTTTTAACAAATTTTCTATAATGGTTATAAAAAAGGGCCTGAAATTACAAAAACGCAATATAATGAACATCTACGAAATAATTACTGCAATTCGTATAAAAATTACCCGATGCAGCTATAATAAAAAATTAAATCAATGAATAATGAATCAATAAAATCTAGCTATAATAATCAGTTATATATGTAGTAATGTTCAGGTATTCGATTTAGCTATTGCAGGACTCGGATATTTTGAAATTTCATGCGACTTTATTACACCATTTCAAAAATATTTTTAAATTAAAACGGTAAAAAAATATTTTTGCCTTGTAACTGAAATCAGTGTGAATGGGACAGCGGATGGTACAATATATTGATATATAATTCTATGGGGGAACTTTTTTGACATAGGTAGAAATCACTAATCTTGATATATTCGACCTGGAACTAAACAACTGCGATAAAAAGGACGGGTTTAAACCAACTGCTACATTCTAACCTTAAAATTTAGACAGATGAATATGATAAATCTCAAACAATAACTGTAAAAAAAATCCCAATTATCTGCAAAATTCTCGAATGNAATAACATTTTTGAAATTCGTTTTTGTCACTTTTATAATAAAATTCCGAATACGTAAAAGTGACAAATACAAAATAGCACCTGCTAACGCTGTCTAAAACTTAGACAGATGAATATGATAAATCTCAAACAATAACTGTAAAAAAAATCCCAATTATCTGCAAAATTCTCGAATGAATTACGTCACATATAATTTCAATTAAACTAAATAGTTTATATGAAATTCCTCAATTACTGTAGAAGGTCCGAAATGCTTAAGATTATTAAACATTGAGTGGAAAAAGTTGTGAAACAGAGATTTGAAAATTCTTAAAATTAACTCAAACAATCGTAACTAATCAACACAAATTTCAAATAATAACTAAAGTTGTCAAATGCAATTTGTTATCCTTTAGATATACCTATAGATAGAATAGGTAATAAATCCTAGATAAATGTACTGTATAATAAATTAAACTTTTTTAGACTGTATTGTACCTACTATAAACTAATTACTTATAAAATAATAATAAATGTGAAATGTTTGCTATCATTTCACTGATAACGATTCACAATCAACATTGCAATAATAAACAATGACACAAACACATCGTCTCATATCCTAGTTATCATACATATTAATATAAGGTGTTTATTAGTTTAGCTCTTATAAATTTTAGAGGAGATAGGTACTTAAAATATCAATATAATATCGTTATAAAACTTGTTCATTAATACTCATTAGGTTACCGATTAGACTCATTAATAGGGGATTTTATCATTAATTGCTATCAAATTACAAAGATCAGAGACAGAATTTAATAAAGAACGGCAAGTACCCACTTGACAGATGTAAACTGCATCAAAAACACTCCTCAACAACAAGTTTGTAACCATTTCAGATGTCAGCATCATGTCATGACAGCTAATAAAGCTCATGAGCACTTGACACGAGCGGGAAGTGATAAAAAATTTAGATACAAAAATTTATATAGTGCAATATTCCACATATAATATAATCTTTCACTCTCTTCTGATCTCATTTCGTCCATCTCATTCTTTTCATCCCAACCACCAGTTCGATTCCTCGTCAGTCAGCTTCAGATTAAGTTCTTCTGTGGTTTCTTTGGATCACGTAGGCAAATACTGGAGTGCTAATATTCTACAAATAACATAATATTTCACCCTCTTCTGGTTTCATTTTGTCCATCTCATCTTTCCCATTCCAACCACCGGTTCAATTCCTCGTCAGTCAGCACTGGTTCATGTTCTTCTGTGGTTTCATTGGATAAGGTAGGTAAATACTGGACTAGTAATATTCCACAGATAATATAATATTTCACTCTCTTTTGGTTTTATTTCGTCCATCTGATCTTTCTCATCCAAGCCACCGGTTCGATTCTTCGTCAGTCAGGTCTGGTTCATGTTCTACTGTGGCTTCTTTAGATTACGTAGGCAAATACTGGAGTAGTAATATATTACACAGATAATCTTTCACTCTCTTCTAGTTTCATTTCGTCTAACTCATCTTTCTCATCCCAACCACCAGTTCGATTTCTCGTCAGTCAGCCCTGGTCAATGTTCTTCTGTTTTCGTTTCATTCGTATCTTATTCAACCCAACCACCACCTCTTCATTCCCACAATTTCTAAAAGGAGACTTAAGAAAGCCTTACCCTCCGGCATAATCCGGAAGGAATTTCCGCCCACCAGCATTAGTAGCTGAAACGCCCACCCGGTTATATTTTGCGAGACTTTCGCTAAAAAGAACTACCCCATCTCGGGTTCTAACTTCGAACCAAAGCCGACTGCATCGAAATGGATTACTTGGTAAATTACTAACTACATATCAAAATTACCTATGGGTGTAATACAGTTTTAACCATGCACCTACATGACAGATGCAGTTATCAAAGAATAACACATCATAGCACCCTTTGTCTAAAGTTTCGTCACTATTAGTACCATGCACTAGTTTCTGCATTAAACTAAATACGAATTGCAATAGGACTGTGTCTGAAATGACATTTGCTAGTGGTTGAAACTGACTGAGCCCTTTGATACGACAACTGACTATAATTAACACACACGTAAGAACATGTACATAATACACAACATAAATCTCTATCTATATCGCATGTATGTACACCCATACACACACGCGGTTAATGTGGTAACCAGAAGACTTGTATCAAACAAGAATTTCGCAAACTTAAGTATTCTAAAAGCGACTAGACGGTGTTTGAAAATTACTTCGGAACCAACACTGCATGATAAAAGCAAGCAGCAAAGGATTAATAAAACGAGTTAGAATTTTAACAACACACCGTTCCATGGTATTAAAGTACCTAATAAAAAATTATCTATATGGCAAAGTAACCACCTACATTGTATTTGTGGCCAGAAAGGGCGATTAAAAATATCGATGTATTGCAGAAAATACAAGTTCAAACTAAAAAACTATTGGTTCTGACACAGGTACTCAAACTAATACATATATCGACTCCATCATTTATTAATAATGAATATTACAAAACCAGTATGCTCTTGTTTCTTACTTTAACTGTCCTCGAGTGCCTCAAAGAAGTTTAAACTCATTTGAAAGTTTTCTTACCATTAAAACATTGTTTAAACAATTTACTTTATGCACTGCATCGTAGTCACAAGTCTTAAAAAAAGTTAAACAATCGCCTCATTCTGTTTCAAACAAATAAATGATGGGAGACTTCAATGCTCGCATGGGAACGTAACCCTAACGAAATGTTGGTAATTATTAAAAAAAAAAAATATTAAAATAATACACACTATTTATGAGACGAAAAATACCCATAGTAAATCCCTCTATTAAATTATACTTTTGTCATTATCTATATAAATATTTTTAATTGTTGGCATTCGCTTTAATGTCAAACGAATCCTGATTTTTCTCTTACCTTAATCGCTTGATGTCAGAACTGAACTGGATAAATTTATTATATATAAATATTTCAATAATGTTGTTAGTTTCTTCACAGTGATAATTGCTTGTCAATACTTAATGGTAAAC